CAGAAAATAAAATACTATACACACATGTGTATTGGTACTTCGTCCTTAAGAGGATTGTCCCCACATGTCCCCACGGCTTCCGCGGCCACTGTTATCTGGTCCCAAGTTACGTAGAAGAAGAACAGACTACTCGTAGGAATACCCAGCAGTCAGGACTAACTACGAAAACGAGGCAGAGGAGTCCGCCAGTCAAGTCAACATGGTCCAATTGACGCATTTTTCACTGCAGCTGAGGCAATGGAGCGAGAGTGAAATATGTGTAATCTCTGGTTCGAAATATCAATGCGATAATGGAGAAAAGTTGGGTCTGGGTCAGATTCTGATCTAAACCAGGGAACCAAGGCAGCAGTGAAAGTTGGCAGGGATTCCATTCTGTGCTAGTTTTTAGGTAGACGTTTCCTGTTGGGGGTAGGGTTTCGCGGTGGTTTTAACCACTATCCAAAAACCAGTTTTAAACAGTTTTTGACACCGAATTTTGGAAAATGTTAAAAAATATCGAAAATGTAAAATATTACAAGTTCTTAATTACTGATCTTTCTCTAATCCTTTAACGTACATGCAAATATGTTATCTCCATTAATTTTGTACTCTTTAGCGAGTCATAAGGCATGGTTTAGAAACTTTCTTAATTTCTCATAAGAAAGACAAAAGTTTTTCCAGATTTCGTGACATTACACACCAAACAAAATGCTCAAAATTAACTGGAGATTAGATATATCTTTGCATAGATTTACAAAAACCTCGTTAACATAAAATTTGAAAGATTTTGCCCTATTTTTCAATTTTGAAGATTTCGGACAATGAAAGCAAAATACTGATTAGTTGTGCCCTAACATGTACATTTTGCTCCATATCCCAATTTTTGACGTTTTGAACAGTAAGATTTTGGGCGGCAAAAGCGCAACACTAGTTAATTCTGCTCTAAATTGTAAAATTTTTGCTCAATTTTGCTCGATTTTACCCATTTTGGACACTTTTCGACTGTCCAAAACCGGCTTGCACATCAACTACGAAACCCTGTTTAGTTTAGGTGGTCTTCTTCTTCTCAGTCCTTTCATTCATTCATACCTCTCTCGAGAGGAGGAAAGTTTGCTTCAAGAGTGAAAGTGATGATGCTTCCCTCGAGCTGTTTCCTCTCTTGCTGCTTATTCTCTTCTCCTAAATTGTAAGTGGGCGACTACAACCAAGTGAGACCACTTTCAACCCAGTATTCTCAACTTTGAACATTTTGAACATATTTTCCACTTTCCGATCCGATATGTAGGTGACTGACTGACACTGCATCACACTTACAACTGGAGAAAGTTTCACTTTCTCCAGTTCCAAGGGAAATTGATGCCCGGCTGTCTTGACGTTGGTTGGTTGGACGTCAAGCAAAACCCGACCAAATCCAGGAATAATGCATGTGACATGTGATGGCCAATATTGTGACACAACTTTATATCCCTGTCTGTCCTAAATTCTGTCACTTTTCGTCCTGATTTTGCATACTAGAGCAGCTCGATAAGTGCTGGGACCGACACGGAAGGACGGACGGGATGTAATCAAACTACGTTTTCCAAACAAACGCAATTTGCTCGACTATCGCAGATTCGCGAAGAACAAACTCATTTTCCGCGTGAATGAAGAACCCGGCACGCGGATGGGTCGGGTATAGAAATTGAGGAGGAAACGGGTGGATTTGGTGTCATAATGTTAAATACATACGTGGTAAGCAGTAAGTGACCGCGGAAGGGGTGGGAACAAAGGGACAATCACAGTCATGTTTACATCCAGTGGCCGCGGAAGCGTGAGGACGCAGAAGGACAATGTCCCCACGGTTATTCGACGTCCGCATCATCTGACCATCTTATACACTGTTAAAAATCCGGTAAAGTCACATATATTACTGGTAATGATTTGGTAATAATTTCCTACCCGATTGGTAGTACATAATTTGTTTCTGAGTGGTAAATTTTTCATTACCACGACATTACTAAACGGTAATGTCCTATTACCATAGTGCCGGTAGAGTCATAAATGTACTCCGGGCAGTAATAATTTCCTACCAGTTTTCTAATCCTAAGAGTGTATAAACCTCTCCCTCTAGAGTGTAAGTGTCCCCACGAGTCCCCACAGCTTCCGCGGCCACTGTACGTACGTGGCAAGTGGCAAACTGTGCAAAGTACTAGAGAGACAAGATCCGAATTGGTATGAAAGTTCCGTCCATATGCTAATGAACATAAATTGCCTCACGTTCATGCCCCGTTGAACCTGATACCGTGCAAATTGTGAACGTGAAAAAGATGGCAATGATTTGCCAATGGATGGATACGATATAGGATTGTCTGATCTCTGAACACATCTGCATAATAAAAATGATGCACTAATTTGTAAATTGGTCGGTGCGAATATATCGCAAATCTGTTAATGGAATGAGTAGTTTTACTCGTGGGAATCAGCGGGTGTTTTGGGCTATCGTTTAAATGAACATTCGCAATCAGAGAGAAAGCTTATCACTTTCACCATCTCGTTTTTATGGAGGTTGAACTCAGTGGCCGCGGAACGGTGTGAACAATGTCCCTCCAACAATCATCTCCCCATCTTATATAATCCCCTCCCTCCCCCATCCTACAATATTAATGTCCCCGATATCCCCACCCCTACCGCGGCCACTGTTTGTACTACGCACGTACTTTGGAATCAGAAGCGCATTAATTTTATCTGCCAGCCACCTCTGCCGCCAAGTGAACTTTGTAAATTACGAGGTGTGTTCTTCCCTATCTAAAACCGATATCAAATTAAACTTGTTTTATTGTAGTCTTCGAACCATCCCCAAATGAGATGGGACACTGTTTGAACAACCAACCAGCCAGCCACGCCAATCTACACACAGAAATGTGTCCATTTTGTCTTTAGCTGCAGTGCAGCATCGGGCAAACATCCGCACAGACAGGCACATGGTCAACCTACATACACATAGCTGGGCATACCTAGTTTCTCTCATCGGTCGTAATGATTTTATGGAAATATTTCTTCCCGATACGTGTTTGTCTTTTTGTCTTCTGGGAAACGGTAGATTGCCGTTGGGAGATAATTTGAAAGGGTAATACATTCATATGAAGGAAGGGAAAGGTGGGTATGCAATGCAATCTAACCAACTTTCTCCAGTTTCATCGTCGTCGTGGTCCCGGTCCGGATGGAGATCCATTATCTCCTTCAATTAGGAAATCTCCGCTGGGGGTGATCCGATGAATTATATGAAGCGAATACCTTCCTTGTTTTCAGGAGAAAAGTGTAAAGAAGGTAGTGTTGAGTTTGGTATGGTGCATACCTAGTGGCCGCGGAAGTTGTGGGGACATCTGGGGACATTAACATTGTAGGGTGGGAATTATATTCCGCGAAATACCTTGGTTCCTTATTTTCAACCATAAAGTCGTCAAGAACTTGGTGTTAGGTGTGGCAGTGGCCGCGGAAACTGTGTGGGGACATTTGGTGACATTAACATTGTAGGATAGGGGAGGGAGGACTTTATATAACATGGGCAGATATGATGCAAGCATCGAATAACCGTGGGTGGGAACATTGTCCCTCTGTCCCCACGCACGCTTCCGCGGCCACTGTTGCTCCTGCATATCGAGCATTTCTTCTCGAACCACAAGGACGCCCGTAGCTGGATGAAGTTTGCTTACATTAGTTATGCTATTACGACATGGAGAAAGATATAAAATAAATGGCACAACTTTACGATGGGTGCACATGGCATTTGTAATTATTGATTTATTACTTTTCTTCTGCACAGCCTACTTTATGGTTTTATTCATGACTTGTACGAGAATATCCGCAGATGCTCTGTGGATGTACGCATATGTTAGTAGGGGTTGTCTTATCTTATCACTTTCACTGCCACCTACATAACTTGGACTACGTAGATGGACACAGGGTTTCGAGTGAAAGTAACCACTGGGGACGAATAACGGGGAGAAAGTGGTTACTTGAAGGTGAATATTTTGACCTGGGAGAAATGCAAGGCGCAAGAAACTAAGTATATCGAGGAGCGCATAGCTAGATCTTATACGCATCTTACTTGCACTTTCTCCCAGTTTCTTTCACCTCACATTTCTTGCGTTTCTTGTTTTGCACTGCAATAAATGTAGCAAATTGAACGTCGTTTTCCCCGAATTTTGATCGTTTTTACAAGTGCTTCCGGTGCAAGTAACCACCTGCAAGAAATAACGGAGAAAGTGATTTTTTGCAGGTACTAGTATTTTGATCTGAAATAAATGCAAGGCGCCCTTCCGTTATGCTTCATACGGCGCGTGCCTTTCTGGCGCATATTTCTTATACTTTCTCCCAATTTCTTGCACTTTCTGTCATTGCAGTGCAAGAAATTTTTCAAATCCGGAATAATCGAAACCCTGGGTATAAATATACATACATCAAAATACTTTAGGGAATGTTTTATGTTGTGACACGGGGCATGTTGTGGAACACGATACATACGTACGTAGGAAAATGAGATTGCGTATTACGCTACCGTGAAGTATTTGATTCATATAAAAGCATTCCGCAGTCATTAATGTCGGGTATATATCCGCATAAATAAAATAAGCCATAAAGTCTCTAGTAAATTACGCTGATGTGCTTTCACTTTTCGTGAAAATTGAAATGTTTGCTGTACCATTTGGAGAAATTTGGTGTCTGGAGTCTACTTTGTTTAATTTCCTGAGTGAGTGAGTCAGCTTACCTATTAAAATAATTGTCAGGAAATTAGAATTTAATAATTGATGCAGAATTAGAGTGGAAATGGGCAGCAAACAAAGTGAAAGTAGAGATTTGACAACATTTTATTTAAAAAACAAGGGATTATTTTTTATTTTTTCTGGAATAATAATACTTAAAATTGAATTAACGCGTTATATAATTTTTTCCCAGTTTAAAGTACGACTCGATGACTCATCACTAAGATCGTAAAAATAAACCAATTTTTAATTATTTCTCAGGTCTGTGAATTTATTTCAAAATTCTGAACGACAAATTTGTAGTTATTAATGTTATGAGTTGATTAATGGAATGACTAAGTTTTTTAAGACAGTTTCGATGAGCTCTGATTTTTTCTGAAGGTTTCTTAACCTGGAGATCTCCCCCCTTCAAAAACATATGGAGTGTATATTTTTGAAAAATTTGCAACTCTCTGCTCTACAAATTTGTAGTTCAGAATTTTAAAATAAATTCCCAGATCAGAGAACTGATCAAAAATTTGCTGCTTTCAACTCTTTTGGCGATAACTCATCAAGTCCTACATTAAAAGGTCTGTAAGCACATATTATTACACAGATTTTCTAAGATTTAACACTAACAAAACTATGTATGTAGCTACATATTTTACGAATTTTAGCATTTATTTACTACAGGTACCTTTTTTATTCGTTCGTTACAACTACGTATTTTTTTGTATGTGGCACAACCAGTTGTTTCAATTTGCATAATCGTGTTTCCACTTATTCGAACAACGCAGTTTTTTACTACTTTACATACATACTTATGTACATATAGAGCACGTCATAATAAGTAACACACTTCGTATTGCAACAGGTAGGTTCCACAAAGGAGTTTGTGAAAGATGAAGGACTTTCTCTCTCTTTGAGTGAAATGGAGCAGACGTAATAGTGAAAGTTAAACGTTTTCATTATATTGCAATTATCAGGTTCTAAGTAGTTTTACCTTTGTAGTCTAGGATGCTTTAATAAGTAAAGGATGAAAAGTAAAGAGTTAGCATTTACAAGTTCGGTAAAGAATGGTTGTTAAAAAATAGAGGCAAAAAATATGACAGGTTATCTGGCCGAAGTTAGTTTTCCCTTTGTAGCGTGGGATACTTAATAAATGAAGGTAAAGCTGTGCAGAAATTTAAGATAAATAGATAACATTTTAGTTAGTTAACATTTAACATTGTCTAACAAGTTGGGTAAATGTTAGTTTGTTAAAAAATAGTAGGAAAAAATCTGAAAGGTTATCTGGCCGGGGTTAGTTTTCCCTTTGTCGTGTGGGATATATAATAAATTAAGGTATGTAGAGCCATGCAGAAATTTAAGGATGAAAGATAAATATATTTAACATGTTATATTCTGTAACAAGCGTTGCTAAAGGTTTGTTAAAAAATGGGAACAAAAAAATGTGAGAGGTTATCTGGCATAGTTTTTTTTACAAAAAAACTTAACTTAGGAAGATTAGGACTATGCTCCCAATTTTTTTAACAGTAAAATTTCATTTGCAAGTGCGTAAATATTTGTATATATTTTTCCATTGAATTTTAAAATTTGGCTTATTTATCAATTTATATATTAATTATTTAAAATTAATATTTTTCTTTTATCTTATTTCCCTACTCGAAAAAAATATTCTTGGCTGAAAGAGCAGCAGCATTTTAGAGAAAAGTTTTTTTTTCAGATTGTTTCATTCATGGACAGCTTCGTAAATTGACAATTTTCAATAAATACCCTGCGAGAAATCTCATTTAAGCAATTTTGAAAAGCAGTAGTTAATGATTGATTGATTGGTAATTAATTAATATTTAAAGCTCTTTGTTTTCAAGAATAAATATTTTTTTCTGCATACATACAAAATTTTGTAAATGGTTTTCACAACACATAAATAAATAGATAATTTGAATTTGAAAATGGACAGCACAGCGGATTGTTTCTGATTGATTTTTAGCATTGATGATTGATACATTTTTGTGGCAAGATTGTTGTTTTTACTTGTATTTTATACGTAAGAGTAAAATTCTTGTACGAGACTGTGACGGTTACATTCAGATTGGATTGGAGAAAGTTGAAAAGTTTGTGGTACATGTATCTTGTTTTAAATTCATTCGAAATCACATAATTTAGCGGCGCAATTAGCAGCGTTTGGCTTGATGGGAATACATTGTTTTTACTAAATCTAGATAGGTTAGCACATTGAAAGCATATTCGTATTTTTTGGATATTTATCACGATTCAGCATTTATACTTGATTAATTAATTTGTTGCAAGATTATGTCGACATTAATAAAGAAAATTAGAAGGGGGTGATCCCGAGTAAAAATTTGAACGGGTTTTCGGAAGAAAGTTGGCCAGATTTTCTGCAGGGCCCGATTTCCTGTAGGGCCCTATTTTTTACAGGGTCAGATTTTCTGCAGGGCCTGATTTTCTTCGATGCCTAATTATTTTCAGAAAAACCTTTGAAAGAACGATTTCTGTAAAAAAAAATATGCAGAATTATGTACAAACAGTTCCGCAAAATAAAACGGATAGAAATTTTGTGCAAGATTACTCAAAATAATTATGCAGAACACACTATGCATTAAGCTTTTCCGATTACTGCAGAATTCGACACACTTATTTCTACTCGGGGTGATACTAATATCGAGACAAAATAATACCCGTAGTTAAGTAATACTTATGTATAGTTGAACGTTTTAGAGCTGTAAGTAACTCGGTAGGTCGGTCGTAGTCAGCTTATCATCCCATCTCAGATAAACGACGTCTTGATGGAGCTTGACCTCGACAAGCTGGTGAGACAATCTTCATATGAAGGTGGATGTTCCAGGTCGTCCCCTTCCAACCAGTCGGGTGTTCCTGATTCAGGCGACTTGAACGAGCCCTGGTCCGAGGACCCTTGCGGGGTCAGGTACTGCTGCCCGTAACTACTCGGACTTGAATAGTTTGACATTTCGTCGGCAGAAACCATGGCGGTCCGTTCCCTGTTATGTAAAACAAATTGAGTTAGAAATTTGTAAAAAAAATGTGGGATTTTTTTAAAATTATTTACAGCGCGTAAGGACTCGGGCTTCGGGAACGTGGTCGGTGACGCGTTGACCGTCGTGACGATCGACGCGACGAGCTACGTGAAGTGTTCCTTCCACTGAAGCTGTAACTTCTTTGACGTGCTGACGAGTCCACTGTGGGACAATTATTTATAATATTTAAGACCATTATTAATGCAGTTTTGGATGGAAAATGGTTAAGCGTGATGGATTTGAATTCAAAATTAGGCCGCTTTGAGCTTGGAAAATGATAATTTGAGATTTTAAGACAAATTTAAGCCGTATTATGAGAATTTTGCGAATTGACAAAGAATTACAAATAATTATTTTTGTGGCACGTGCTAGTTACTCGAATCACGTGTTCAACACGTGGACTATCCCGCCAGGATTTTCTATCACGATTAATTACTTTCCACTCAATAACATTATATATTATTTGTGTTTATTTACTAACACTCCATAAATTGCAGATAAGCCCTGACTTCGGGCAGATAGCTTATCGACGAATAATTGCTGTCGTCTCTTTTAGGACTGGTAGGAGGATAAGCATACATCGTGGGTGAATTTGGCGTGCTGTAGCGACGTTGTCGTACGTCTAAGTGATTCGTCACACCTGTAATTTAATTAATTAATTAAGTTTTTAACATTTAAAAATTTAATATAAAAAATATATGGATATGCAACTTACTATTCGCAGCAGTGGTTTCCAGTGGGATAGGACTTTTAGGTTTTACACTGGAATAATACGAGTTTGGTGGTCCAGTCGGTGTCGGGGTGGATGAGCGTCTATTCGAGTCTGTATAAAAATTGCATGCATAGATTGTAATAAATAACGGGGTATTTCATAATAATTTTGTGTAATTTACTATAATTTACTGTATAATGTACTGTAATTTACTGTATAATGTACTGTAATTTACTGTATACTATACTGTAATTTACTGTGGGCGTACTCACGACAACGTCTTATTCACATCGCGACTTATTTAGCAAAAAATTGCGATATTTCTGTCGTGAGGGGATTATCAAAAATATAACCTCTAAAACTCTACAATTTAACAAATCTACTGAAAAACACCTATTTTGGTAATGTTTTTATGGATTTCTTTAATTTCTCTTGTTGGGGATGAGTTTGCGAAATAATTTTGTGAAATAAGAACATGCCCAATTGGGTAAATTTGAGAAAAAAATCCCATGGTTTTCCAGCAAACTTTTTGCGAAATCTCGCATATCGCAAAACTTCAGCAGGTATGTTGTTACGCTTAATTTGCGAAGACGTGATTTGAGTACAATTTACTGTATAATTTACTGTATGATTTACTCACGGTAAACGAAAGTGTGCTGTGGGTGTGACGGAGGTAAGGACGCTGGGTCTCTCTCCATCATTGCAGGTACGCTTTCTCTTTCCAACATGGTCCGGACTTGAATCGGAGCTGCGAATCGGTCCGTGTGTACGACGCTGTTGTGAAAGCGGTAGTTCGAGTTTCCTGCAAAATTTGAGAGCATTTTTATTAGGATTTTTGGGATTTTCATTACGAGCATGTCCGCACCGAGGACGTAACAATTTTTTGAAAAAATTAGCGTACAGGTTCGCAAATTAATTTTTTGCGAACCTATAAAAACTGTTTTTCGCAGTTTAATTGAAATATCGGTAGGGGTATTCATTACAGGTTTGCATGTATGCATCATAACAGCATAATTTTAGGTTGAAAATTTGTGAAATAAATTTACGCATTTTGGAAATGCGCAAGTTCGCATTTGAATTTGCCAGCCAAAATTTGTGGTGAATTTGGCAATTTTTTCTGCTAGTGTTTCTAGCTCGTGATGAATACCCCTATTGAAGATAATCAAATGTCATATCAAAATAAATCAATTTATTGGATTAACTAACTTTGGAGATAAGTGGAGTGCGCCATGAGTCCGGATAACTGAGGTGAGGTGCCGCTTCGAGTTAATCGTTGGTGTGACCCGTGACCACCGTTGTGAGGGTTTTCACAATCGAACCGCACCCTGCGAGGGGTCCGAGGTTTACACCGGTAGTGAATCCAACTCCTTCTAATCACTTTGTCTACGCAAGTGCAGCAGGCAAACTGTAAAATGAGGACAATTATAGTACTTTTCTTCGCTTTAATCATGCTCTTTTACATTATTAAACTATTTAAAATTTCAATCAGTGTTTCGGGTGAAAGTGACCATTTGCAAGAAATAATCGGGAGAAAGTGGTTCTTGCAGGTAAATATTTTGACCTGCAAGAAATGCAAGGCGCAAAAAACTAACCCTCGCCGCTGTACTTCATACTGCGCGTGGCTAGATGGAACATATTTCCTGCACTTTCTCCCAGTTTCTTGCACCTTTCATTCACTTTATTGCTTTTTCTTAATGCAAGAAATGTGGCAACCCCACTAGAAACGAGACACTGATTGGAATCAAAAATTGATAAAGAAATTGATCTCACCAAGAGCAAGATAAGCAGTGGAATGCCAGCAAGCAACGGAACAAACGAGTTTTGCCATACATCGAAAAATTTCATGGACTGTGGGACGAACCGTGCTTCAAAACTTAACCACGACCACGACCAACTACGTTCGTGCAACTTGGAATATAACTTTCTCCTCTAAATAAACTTGTGTTAGTGGGTTAGTAGATAAGTTAGTTAGGTTTTGGTTAGTCGTTACATTGTTATTTATTAAACCGCCTCCTTATCAATTCTCAATCAATTAAGCTACAGTTTAAATTTGTTTTTTAGTTCGGCATCATTACAAATTGACCTACAAGCAAGTTATCCTTTAGGAAAAAGATAGGATTAATAGAAAAATATAAATTTACAACGGATTGATTTCGCAAACTTTTTGCAGACTTTCTTCTGATCTTTTCTTTTTGCAGACTTTCACTTTCACATTAATGAAAAGACGTTTTGGCAAGACACAGACTTTTTGATGTTTGATTTGATTGTATGAGGAGAAGATCACCATCTGAGCACCAACTATCACCACCACTACTTGCTTTCTCTATATTATGTCCCTACAAAAACTACCTGTCGGCTTGTCTCTCCGTCCGTCCGTGTGCTGTGCCAAATATCGTGACTATGACGTATAATGCGAATGTATCTCTCATCACTACCACCACCACGACTCATTCACGATTACGGCTACTTTATGATGCCAACAAACAACAGTTGGTGGTTTGGTGGGTGAAAGTGCTGCTGCCGAGAAGAGAAAGTTGTTTTGCAGCAGGAGAGGAGATTCAATGTTGGCAAATGCGCCGTAGAAGTGTTGATATTTTGTCCAGTCCGATCTTCTTTTTTCGTTTACCTTTCTCTTATTTGCTTTCACTTTACTGTTTAGCTTTTCGTTGTTGTTTTTATAAAACATGTGGTCGACTTTTGTAGAAATATAATTAAAATTAGGAGAGAAGTCAGGAATTTACTGTTTATCTTCTATTCCGATGGGAGAGAAAGTGTGTCTCTAAATAAGTCAGGTAAAAGAGTAGTAGTGGGATTACTTTCTATTCTATTATTGACACGGAGGGAGCCTGTTTTCGATCTGTTATTGAGATCATCTGCGTTGCATTTGGCCTATTCTACATTCTACGCGAGGAGGAGGAGGAGGAGACGAGCGTGGAGTAATAAGGAGTGAAATGTCAAAGGGAGACTGAGCCCAGGATGAGGCTCAAGCGGGGGAGAAAGTCGTGTGTGTTGAGGTGGTGGTGGTGGTGGTCCAAGTAATCGATAAGATGGGTTGGCTTTCTTTCAGTGGCCGCGGAAGGGTGGGGACAGAGGGGACGATTGTTCGTGTATCATATGCCCATGTCATCAAAACCCCTCCCACCCCTATCCTACAATGGAAATGTCCCTACGGCTTCCGCGGCCACTGTCTAGAGTTTCTATAGCTATTGCTCATTGGCCGCGGAAGCGTGTGGACAATTTCCCCACGGTTGTTCGATGACCGCATCATATCCCCATCTTATATAAACCCCTCCCTCCCCTATCCTACAATGTTAATGTCCCCAGATGTCCCCACGGCTTCCACGGCCACTGCTTTCTTTCTTCTCGTGCCTGCCTATAACCAATCTTTCTAAGTATGTGACAAAGACCAGTTAAACCTGGCCACTTGGTGCGTGACTGAGTTGAAGTGGAAAGAATGAAGGAGGTCGGTTTTGACTTTCTCCGGTTTCTTTCCAGCTCCATTATGTGGAGTGGACTCAAATAGAGGAGAAAATTAAGGCAGAGAAGGACTTTTGCTGGGTGTCTCTTTTTCATATGCAATTTGTTCCCTTCCATTTACAGTGGTACTCTGTCTTACGAAATGTCAGATTATCTTGTTACATGCACTCTCAATATTTTATGATACAAATTATTACCGGCGGCGGTGGTATGCAATTCTACCGCTTTGGTAATAATATATCTATCAACGAAGGGGAAGGATGACAACTTCAGAGGCTAAATCCTGCTCAGCTTCCAATTTCAGTGCTCTAGAAATAAAAATATTACCGACACCAGAGGCAATTTCTTACCACGTGTGTTAGTGTTACCACGCGGTAGTACCTCCGACGGTAACAATCATATCACAAAGTTATTGAGCGTGTGAGACTGTCTCTCTGGCTGGATTATTTTACTAAATTTGTATGCATGCTGAGAAGAATTCAGAGTGAAAGAAATGCAAAAAATGTATTTGTGTTCTGTCCAAATGCGTATATGCAGAATGATTTATTTAGTGTTGACTGTGCCAAATTTCAGTTATTTTAGTCAGAGTTCAAGGATTTTGAGTGTCATAAGAAATTAATTATCCTGCTGCTGGAGCGGGTGCTGCGGCGGGTGCGGCAGCGACTACGGGAACGGGAGCCGCTTTATTGCACCCGGGAGGCGGTGGGGGCATGATGGCTATGGTGCCGTTTGCTCCAGCGGGAGGGGCTGGGGGACGAGGGGGCGCTGGTCCTCCCGCGGGCGGTGCGGGTGGTGGCGCGGGTGGTGCGGGCGAAGGAGCTAGAAAGAAAGAGAAAATTACGGTGTAACTGAATTAAGTAGCAAGTTTCTGTATTAAGGAGGGGAAAAAAGTAAAACCCCTTTATGGGAATGCCTTGTTTGTCTGTCTGTCTGTCCGTCTGTATCCACAACTTTAGAAGGGATGGGAATTTTGAGACGGCTTTCACCAATGCCGCTCTCACCGATGTGTCTCTAATTTTTGGGGAAAAGTTAACCTCAAAGATGGGTGTTTTAGGTCATAAGGTCACGGCGATGAGGTCAGCGGTGGTGGTCAAAATGGGGCAAAATGAGACGTGGGTGGCGTGATCAGGGACAACGACAAGAAAATGGTAAAACAAGATGTGGATGTGCCTCAGCAAATACAATTCCGCATGGTTTCACCCCTTTGCTACATTTGCTTTACACCGATTTATTCAAATTAAGGAAAGTGCCACAAAATAAAGTTGTCCATCATCCCCAAATTAGTTTCCGACAAGGAAAAACAACGTGATAATGGAGGAGCAAGCTTTCTCTCACCTTGTGGATGCGGATGTGCGACACCGTGATCCAATACCAGGCACAAAGCCACGGCTAAAACGACACTGACAGAGAGGAACGATTTCATTATGACAAAAAGCTAAATTTCCTAAAAGTTTGTCACTTTGCAGAAAGAGAACAAATTGCATATGAACTTTTGGAGCAAGAAAGTTGTCATTTTATACGCGAAGAAATTAGCAAGTTGTGCTTTTTAAGTGGTAAAAAACTTGTATAATCATGAATAATTGTATGTACGTAAGGTTAAATAATTAATTGCTTATTTTGATCAACACTTCAATTTAGACAGGTTTTTAATAATTTCTGGTAATGAAAATGAATTACAATTATGTTCAAAATTTTATATTTTACACAAATGTATCTGTTATTATTTTAATCAACAATTTGGTTTTTAATTTCTGGTAATTTAATGACAATGATGTTCAAATTTAAAGCTTTACACGACATAAATAAAAGGTCAACCAGTGGCCGCGGAAGGTGTGGGGACATCGGGGGACATTAACATTGAAGGATAGGGGAGGCAGGGGTTTATATAAGATGGGCAGATGATGGGGACATCGAATAACCCTGGGGACATTGTCCCTCTGTCCTAACGCTTCCGCGGCCACTGATGCCAAAAATTCAATTTAGGCTGGTTTTTAATTTTATGAACATTCAAAATTTTAAGTTTTACATAACAATTAACACAAATAAAATGTATAGCCTCGAATGATGACAGAATTATTTACATAATCTGTTTCATGCCAAAATCATTTTGACACAAAGTGAGTAAATGAAGTGATAAAGTTAGTAGTAAACAAGGGCAGAAGTGGGTAATAATTTTATTTGATGGACATAAATTCTAGTGAATAGAGCATGAGTTATATTATAATGAGTCGGCATAAACTGTCACTTAACAGAATTACTACGTAATTACTTTACTCTTGGCTCCATTGTGGCAACATCCGTCATTTAACACATAGGACTCGATGACTCATCACCAAAATCAGCACATTTTTGGTATTTTCTTGGCTCTGGGAATTTATTTTAAAATTCTGAATGACGAATTTGTAGAGCAGGTCGGCACCTATTTTTTTTAATACACACTCCAGATTTTGAGACTTTTTAAAGGAGGAGATTTCAAGTTTAACAAGCCTTAAAAAATTGAACTAATCAAAATTGGCTTAAACCACTCACTATAATTCCATTAGTCAACTCAGTGACTATAAATTTGTCGTCCAGAATTTTAAAATATATTCCCGGAACCGAGAAATGGTCGAAAATATGTTTATTTCTACCATTTTCATCAAGTAATGAGTCATCCAGTCCTACCTTAATGCTGTAAATTCCCAGGGCCGAGAAACTATTACAAATATGTAGATTTTGACGATAAGTCATCCAATTCTACCTTAATGCTCTTTAGCAACATCCCGCAAATTTTTCAGGGTCGCTTTAAACGCTTCAAAATAACCAAATTCTTTGTACGGAAGTCCATTCTCCTCCGCAAACTTTTTGACCCTCTTCTTAATAAGGGGACTCCTGAACTGCGGCATTGTTGGGAAGAGGTGATGTTCAATTTGGAAATTTAACCATCCCATCCACCAATCCATGAAAGGCGTCGATTTGACATTAATCGTGTTATGGAACGCGTACTCCACCCAGTGCTGCGGTTCCGCAGTGACTTCCAGGTGGGTGTGGGAAATTGAGAAATTTCCGAACATATACATGCTCCAAAGCCATTTGGCCATGAGGAAATTGAGAATTCCGAAGTTTGTCAGGGCAAAAAGAAAGTGAAGCGAGATGCAAAAAATTTCGAAAAATTGTCCCTTTCTGTAACAGTATTGCGGATGCAGGTACAAACTCCAGCGGATCGTGACGATGAATGTGTGCACAGGGAGGAATAAGATGGCCTGAAATGACGAATTATTTGTATACGTTGATTATAATTTGCATAAGTGATAAGTTACCTGATACTTTATAAAAAAGTTTTTAGCACTTTGCAAATTTTGATTGGAGAAGCATTTCTTGCTGAAGGCGAGAAGGGGAAGCGTGTCTAAATCCACGTCTCTATGGATTCGTTGTGGCATGGCGTGATGTCTGTGGTATCATTTTAAGAAAATACTGGGTAATGGATGATATCAAGATACTTTAAAGTTGAATAAGTTCGTCGAAGATTTTTTTAATCTCACTCTAGTAGCGTATGTTTTTAATTGCAAATTTCTAAAAATTTGGCATTAATTTGATGAGCCTAGAAATAAATCTAACTTACCTACTTTTGATACTTTTATGTAAAAGTTAAATTTTGCTACAAAAAAAAGTCAATTGAAGTAACAATTTTTTTATCAAATCGATAGTTTCGTTCCAAGAATTCACTTTGCATTAAACTATAAAAAGCTGCACTTATCTCAAAACCCATGAAATTGATGCAATTTGCATTTAAAGACCTTCAATAAGCGTATATAGAGTGAGATTTTAAACCTATAACGCATCAAACCGTCATCACATGCAACCTTAATATTCCGATAAGAAACACTAATAAAAAGATATGTATGTACTAAAAAAAGTTACATAACCGTGCCTGTGATGGTTGTGATTCCACCAAGATGCCGACAACCCATTTCCAAATCCTAGAAAAGAAAATTTGCGTTGAGCAAAAATTTTCCCTTGCAAATTATATTTGGCAAAGCGTCATCCTCACTTAATTATTCAAATTAATTGCAACTTGCCATACAGAAACTTTTGCAAGTAGGAATCCACCCGCGGTCTGCCCGTCAGGGAATAGTGGCCGCCTTCATGAGCGAGCCAAACGATCCGGCCGTACGCCATGGTTAACATGAAAATGCCGAGAATTCTGCGACATGCAGAAAATTCGCAATTTGCGAGGATAACCCAGGCAAGAAATAAGTACAGCGAGAACTCCGCAATTCTGCTAAGTACGTGAGACAATGATGGATTGAAAAGGCCGGCCTGGTCAAACTCGGCATGGAGTAGTTTAAATCTCTCATTTAAAGCTTTGTTGTTCCGCTTCTCGGCTGGAATTAGTGATAATCAAGAGAATTATATAAGCGGGAGAGATGTGCATTTATCTGTGAAGATGTGACAGGACAGCTTCTGTTTTTTTAGGCCGAGTCTGGGTTTATGGAGCGGGCATGTACGTCGGTCTGTCGGTCTGTCTGTCTATTCGTCCGTCCGTCCGTCTGTCTTTCTGTCTGTCTCTCTGTTAGTCTGTCCGTCCGTCTGGCACGATTTACTTGAAATTCTTAAAATATGCATATTGGACATAGTTAGAAAACAAGTTCGAAAATATCGAAATCGGTCAAAAACTTAACCATTGGGGGTCATCAGGGTCAGTGGTGTAACATGAACCAAAATATCAAAATTTCCGCAGAAACTTAAATTGTAGACATTGCTAATGTCTTGAAATGAATTCGTATTAGAAAAATTTCATCTCTAGTGGGTGACCCATACCGTTTTTTTTCAAAATCGTCATATCGTCCTAAAATTTACCCCTGAACATAAAACTCTGACTCGGGCTAACTAAAGTCTGCACACTCCCAATTTTTTCCTTACTTTTACTTGGCTCACGTTCACAATCTTCTTCGCTGTCACGTCGAAAGGGTAAAGCGTTCCGAAAGCGAAGAACTCTTTTCATAGATTTGTTATAAAAAAAAATAAGTACAAAAAAATAGCACGAGTTGTTCTTAAAAATGTAGAGCTTATCTGTTATGGAACTGGAGAAACGGGATGGTGGCATCTTCTCCGGATTCGGTGTAGTAATTAATTACTCTGCCTCCCGGGTGGAATTGACTCCATCGTGTCACGTCATAGTAATTGCCTTCTATCAGGACTTCCCGTTTTGCTGAGACTTGGTTTATGTCAAATTTACGTCTATTCTTGTCGTCGTCCGTTGAAGGAAGAGATGGTGCCATTTTTATTTTTTACTGTATTGGTTGGAACTAAATTCAACGGAAAACGTAGGTGGGCAAAGTTCGAAAGTACAATGTTCTCACAAAAGTTATGGTGTAGGCGTATTTATTATGGGATTTAGGACAACAAGGAGTTAAGAAAATTAATGACTTTGATCCCTCACGATTATAAGGTGAAGTTTAACAGAATTGTGAGAAAATGGTAGTGTAAACTACCATAGATATGCTGTGAAGTAAATGAATGTGCGCTGATATTTTATGCAAAATTGAGACAATTCACGCAGATCTTGGTAACATTGTAAAATCCAGAAGTTCCATAAACTTACAAACTTTTAGAAGTGTTTCAAACGAATGTTACAAATTTTTATAAAGTTAATCAAATCAAGGGCGTCTTTTATTTTATTTTGGAAAAGTTCACAAAATTAATTTTCAAAATTTACCGATTTTACAAGTTACCAATGACTGCGTGAATTACTTCAATTCACGCAGGTTTAGAGATCTTACATAGTTCTAATTTACATAAAGCACACATGTGGCAAGGATTTTTAAGGGTCAGAGTTATATTGCATTAATAAGCAATGTTTAAAAAAATATTTGTGCATTGCATGTATTTTCATGTAATTATTTTACTACCACTTTTCCTCAAATCGAGCCATATATCAGAGAAAATGCGATCCAATGAGACGAATAAGAATCGTATTGTCTCAAAATATTTACCCCTTTTTTATATTCATTCATTCTTCGATAAGTGGCAAGAATGACACGTTCTTGTCAGTATGTACGTAACAGAATAAAATCAGCATATTGACATTGCATTAGGCAAATAGATACGCGAGGTTACGAGATTTGAGATAAATCCCGAGATTCTCAATCTTGGGAAACTACTGACAGCTTACTTGTACGTTAGTCCAGTCTAGCATGATCGTTTACATCATGTAATCAGATTTCTGGAGCAGATTGCATTTGCCTGCAGTGGCCGCGGAAGCTGTGGGGACATTGCCATTGTAGGATAGGGAAGCTAGGGGTTTATATAAGATGGGAAGATGATGCGGACATCGAATATCCGTGGAGACATTGTCCCTTTTGTCTGCACCCTTCCGCGGCCACTGTTTCCCTGCATCGTGCATCTGCTGGATGGTGAATTTCAATGAATAAATTAAACTTGGTCAAACACATGCCAGAGACAAAGATTTGCTTCTGTTTTATTTCCCCAATTTCAAAACATGAACTTTAAAGTTACGTATTTACAACTTGTCCGTCGTCTCCTGATGTTTGTGGTTGACTTGTAATTCACAAGTTTTTGAGGAGAGAACGCACGTAGAATATTTATAAATATAACATTTTTTGGACATCATCACTTCTTCTTTGAGCTTGTTTAAATATTTTTGTTTAATTTTGTTTAATCATGCAGCAACGTTTGTACATTTATCAAAACTAGTTTGTATCTTTAAAGTATTAAATATTAAGACAGTTAATTAAAACAATCACATATTTATCATAACATTTATGTAAGGTACATCATGTGCTAATCTCTAAAAATATACATATATAGGCCGTCTTTATTTATTGTATTTCATAAATTGAGTCGTTTATAAATGTACTACAATTTGAAAGAAGGTTAAAATTATTGCGGAAAAGTTTTTTTCTTCTTCTTTCTTCGTCTCATCATTCAAATATTTTTCGGAAACGTTAGGCAAATCCTAATCATACGGGAAATGTTAGTTTTTTTAACAAAAATATAAAAAAGTTGAATTGAATACCTGAGCGGTACTTGAGCTACTTGAGCATGACTAGTTTTCAGAGGATGTTTCTTAAAACGATGACTATGAAAATAATGAGTAGTTGGATTAATATGATTTAATTTAGCATATGTAGGACTCGATGACACAAAAGTATCACATTTTTTATCATTTCTCGCTTCTGAGAATTTATGTTAAAATTCTGAACGACGAATTTGTAGAGCAATGAGTTTATAATTTAAAAAAATATACATTCCAGATTTTGACAGTTTTTGAAGGAGGAGATCTCAAGTTTAAGAAGCCTTCAGAAAAATTGGAACTAACAAAAATTGGCCAGATTTGTCGTCCAGAATTTTAAAATAAATTCCCAGAAATGATTAAAAATGTGTAGATTCTGGTGATGCGTCATCGAATCCTACATTAACGTCCTATTGCATGCTGGTTCTGAATTTAAATTCTAGCGTCTCAACTTTCCTTTCTTCCATGTATTCAAATTGCGATTTGAAACCTGTTCATCTCCGTGCGTTTTTTTAAATGAAGATTTAGTATATCTAAAATTCAAGAATTTTTTAGTTTTGTAAAGTTAGAACGTTAGAATTCTGATTTTTTCTTCTATAAGGAAATAAAAGTAAAATAGATATAAAATAATATTACACAAAATTAAATATTTTCCTATGGAAGAATACAATATCAGAATTCGAACTTTGGTGACCTAAAAATTTTAGATGCAACAGAATCTTCATTTTTTTAAACGCACAGAGATGAGCACGTTTCAAAATCGCCCTTTGAACCCATGCAAGATGGGAAAGTTGAGACACAAAAATCCAAATTCAAACCCCGCATACAATAGCCCCTTAATGGTCACATGAATGTCACTCACCAATGAATAACAGTAAGAAAACCATGCCCGCAATGATAATTAAAATCACGACGTCTTCATCCACGGGTTCATTCCCAAGGATCCTTATCATATAAGGCTTTCCCATGAATGCACTTCTTTACATTCCAGGTTTGTATCGCTACTTATTATTTCTCACATGGTTTCCCCAAATATTTGCGTCAAAGTCGTCATGAACACTTTGAAATTCAAGCACAATTCCCATGTCCTTCATACTGAACGACATTTTGAGTGAATGAAAAGGCGGCAATATTAATTATCTATGTATGTATTTCTTGCTGAGCGAGACAGACAGATAGACAGACAGACAAACCACACAATTTCACAACACGAACACGGACAGCACAACAACAACAAATGACACATAGAAGCTTGGACGTTCACACCACAACACGCGAATAATTTTTGCATGGCATGATACAAAGCAGCACAATTACATTTTTTGTGGACAATATAGTACATAACTTTTCTCAGTAGAAAGTAAATAAAATTTGCCCTTGGCGAGGACACCGCGTTTTTTTTACAGCCTGACCGACCAGCACTGAAACCAGTGATCTCATGTGCTTGCTTGCAAATTGTGATGTGATCTCGCTGACGGATGCGACTGTTCAAGTCGTTCGACTTTCTCTTTGGTTTGCTGCGTTACTGGATGTTTTCCTTCTTAAAATCTGGTCCACTCATCGCTATCCATGGAGGAGAGGGAGGCGATTTGCCTTTTTGAGTTGTGTTGTGTACTCTATGTGATCTCTTTAGCTTGGCTTTTGGTTAGAGCAGAGTTGACTTTATGCTGCGTCCGAGAATGAGAATCTGAATGCGGGTGGTGGGGAGACAATGGATTCGCTGGATGGAAAAATGTCTTGGAGGAACAAGAAGTCTCTATCTATTTTCTGGTGCATACTCCTCCCTCCTCGATGCTGCTTTTACTGTAGGAGTCAGTGGCCGCGGAAGGGTGTGGACAGAGGGACAATGTCCCCACGGTTGTTCGATGTCGGCATCATCTTCCCATCTTGTATAAACCCGTCCTTCCCCCGATCGTACGATGTTTATTACCCCAGATGTCCCCACGGCTTCCGCGGCCACTGACTGGTAGTATGAACGTATGAACGTATGAACGTACGTAAGCTGAGTGATCCGGCTACAGATACAGATCTCATTTTGCCAGTGGCTTCATCTGTATTATGCTTTCTTCCGGTGCCAGAATGTCTTGACTAAAATCAATATGTATTATACTTACTTATCACATTCATTCCGAGGACTATAATTCGCGACTGTGTGTGTACGTACATAATTCCAGTAGGGGGTACTTGCTTGGTGGACTAGTGGCGTCATATCAGCGTGGATAAAGCACAGTGGCCGCGGAGGCTGGGGGGACATGTGGGGACATTAACAGTATAGGGTAGAGAAGAAAGGGGTTTATGTAACAAGACTAATCTACAATTGGGACTATATGTACGTACGTAATAGTAGGGGGTACTTGGACATCATATCAGCGTGGACGAAGTAGCGGAAGCTGTGGGGACATTAACATTGCTATAATTCCGACTTTATGTAAAGAATTCCATGCAGTATGGACTAGTGTCATTATATCAGCGATTGTGGACAAAGTACAGCTACTGTCAGTGGCCGCGGAAGCTGTGGGGACACATGGGGACATTAACATTGAAGGATAGGGGAGGGAGGGGTTTATATAACATGGGCAGATTAAGACGACAAAAAACAACCGTGGGGACATTGTCCGTCTGCATTCGCATCCTTCCGCGGCCCCTGCAGCTAAAGTGTACAGACCCATTTTGGGAATATCCAGCAGGCAAAAAAGTCATGGAGTCAGGCCAAAAACTATCTTTGCTTTTGGCGAGGGTTTCATTGGTATTAATTATTCAGCCGAACTGAGGGTGTGTCGAGGGAATGGGGGTGAAAAAAGCGGGGTGGTGGTGTTTATTATTGAAAAATGTGTTAAAATTCAGACCCGGTTTGGGAAATATGTTTGTATTTGTGGTCGGTTTTTTGGGAGAAAGTCCGCCGTGATGGATACAAATAGCGGGAATTTTGAAATTCAATCACGTCGTGTCCATTTCATTTAAATGTTGCTGGCATTCTTCCCTTCTCACATTGGGTGGAAATTTACATTCACGGCTTAATGAGATGAGACCATTCTCCTCGAGGGGAAAGTTGGCTTAAGTAAAGTTTTTAGATTCTGGACACAACGCAGATGAAGAAATTTTGGACAAATGGACAATTTCGGTTTGATTGAATGAGTAAGCATTTGGCTTGGGGAATTTGAGTCATTGGGGAAAATTAGGGGGTGCAAAAACGGAAGATTTTGAAAAAATGGGGTGTAGATTTTAGAAAATTTTTTAACGTTGACTTGACTCATCGCCTGTGACGTCACAGGTCTAAAAATCTGCACATTTTTACTCATTTATCGGCTCTGGGAATATATTTTCAAATCCCATCTGGTCATTTTGTAGACCAGATCAGTACCAATTTATTAAAAATATGCACTCTAGTTTCAACGTTAAAACCGAAGTTTTCGAAGTTAAAGTTTTCGAATATTCGGATTTTTTAGATTTTGGTAAAATGAATTTTCGATTGATAAAACCTATTTTCGATTATTCAGATTTTTAACAATTTCGGTGAAACTGGTTTTCGATTGTTCGGGGTTTTAAAAATTTTAGTATACCGGTTTTCGATTCTGTTTAAAACCGAGTTTTGTGCAAATTTTTCAAAGTGTGCAAAAATTTTTGCAAATATAGTAATCTCAAGATTTACATGAAACATTAAGCACTAGCCTCGAAATAGTTTACTACAAATCGAAAATTCAACTGTGTAAACCCGCTTTTTAGGGCAAATTTAAACCCATTCTTTTTACAAAATCGGTTTTCGGTTAAATCTAAAATATGTTTTTACAAAATCCGAAAAACCGATTTTGGATGCCCTACTAGAAATCGTAGATAAGTTAAGTACTTCGTGGATTTTATGAGAATGTGTCTGCCTATTCCTTATCTTGCATAAGCATCTAATTGAGTATGATCTGTAGACAGTGATGGGCTAAATAATCGAAATTTTATTCTTAACATGGTCGAATCGTCGCACAAAATGGGCAGATGAAAAACTTGGTTCCCCGATGCAAATGACACTGACTGACGATACTGCGCCACGTTTGTTTACTTTTACTTCCTTGAGCAACTGTGAATTTGCATATTTTCATGAGACACTTTCACCGACCTAATTCACCGGAATGGTAATGATGATACCATGCAAAAAAGTTTGGAAAATAAGTAAATCTAGAATTTAATGCGAAATTTCTAATAATTTACTTGGTCTAAAATGGAATCCCTATCGGTTCACTATTATTTAGGGGTGAAAGTTGTTTATGAGATCGTTGTTCCGTCCGTCTGTCCGTCCGTTGGTCCGGAAAACGCGACCAAAAATACATAAAAATTGAAACCTGAAGGGACAAGGCGAATTCGAAGATTGGCAGTGAAGGTCACAAGGTCACGGCGGCAGGTCAGAGGTCATGATTTCCTTAAATTTGATTCGCATCATCTGAGGACTTAAAACGATAGTATTTTCATACTGCTATCTAACTGAATACTTAATTTTGACCTGCGAAACCCAGGTGACCGTGTGAATAAAGTCAACGGTCACAAAAGTCTGAAACCCGTCAATTTGAACAGAATTTCACCTTTGGAGAATACAATTTAATATTGATTTTAGCGTATGTATGCCACACTACTTTCACCCCTTTGTTACATGCGTTTTACTGGTTTATTATCCGTCAGATTACGCTACGCAGAATATTTACTTTATTACTTAGGGATGGATGCCAATCAAATCTTTTTCCAGATTTTGGCTCAGGATTTTATCCATTTCCAAATTTAAAACTTGCACAAGTTTTTATATCTTTATTTACAACCTCTCAATCTGTGCCAAAATAGAGATAAAATTTAGACAGAAACAAGATGACATTGAGAGTTGGATGCCAAAAGTAATAATAAATGATTGATTCTGACCCTTTTTCACAGGAAATTGCTGCATAAAAAGGATTTAAACTACGCCATATATTCCTACCTCGTGCCGGAAAAGGAGTTAAATGAGGACATATTTTTTTGAAAAAAATTAACGGAGACATTTTGTTTTCCGGTGAAAATAAATCCGCATTTCCTTATGAGTTTCTTTATCCATTGATCTGAATCAGTGGCCGCGGAAGGGTGGGGACAAAGGGGCAATGTCCCCACGGTTGCTCGATGTCCACATCGTCTCCCCATCTTATATAAACCCCTCCCTCCCCTATCCTACAATGTTAATGTCCCCCAGATGTTCCCCACGGCTTCCGCGGCCACTGGATCTGATCCCTCTTTTCAAGGTTTGTAGATGAGAAAGGAATATCTTCATCCCTACTTTCACTTTCACTGCAGATACGCATAAAAAAAGTATCCTATTGAGCTTTTACTCATTTTTTGCGACATGTGTTTTGCCTCCGTTACCCAAATGTCATCTTTTTTTTACTAAAATGGATGATGCGACAATACACCCAACATGACAAATTTGTATATCACATAAAAAATTTGGCCGAGATACACTTACAATGGAGGTCTTCTAGCGTATGCTCTCCGATTTTGGGCAAACTAGTGGAAATCGATCGCAAATTTAATTAGCATGAAATTTGCGAAAGACGCGATCTCCCAATGGGCACGTTTGGCAGAGATGTTTGCATCCGAAGAGGAGAAAATGCGCCTAAAAGTTGACAAATTTTACACTTTCCAAATTTTCTGCTTGCTTTCTCCTCTTCGGGTGCAAATATCTCTGCCAAACGTGCCCATTGGGAGATCACATCTTTGCAAATTTCATACCAATTAAATTTGTCACCGATTTTCACTAGTTTGCCCAAAATCTGAGAGCATACGCTGGGAGACCTCCCTTGTTATTAAGCATATGCATATCGGAGATGAGATATGCCAACCAACCGCATCGTGGAAGTAACCAATCGAGTGGAAGATGGTCGAATAAGGAAAACCGATCCCTGTTATCAGGACAGTAAAATATATCGGACAACGCAATTTGTTTCCATACATATTTCCTTGGGAGGTTTATTTTCTTCTTGTTTTCGATTTGGACAGCGTCTTATATAAGTTTTGTTTTGGAGAAGTGCTCACCCGCACGCAGTGGCCGCGGAATTCGGGGACACATCTCTTAACGAAAAAGTACATATGTTTGTGTAGTATTTTTTTCCGTTATGCACGAAATACACTAACATGTGTACCGGAAAAATTATTCTGAAAGCAAAATTTCTAAAAAAATAAGGGTAATTCTTTGGAATTTTGTGGAAAACTCGATGGTAAAAAGTGGATTTGTTCGATATTTTTCTTCTAAAATTTTGGAACTTTCCCTATACCGACCAATGTTAAAAAGTGGATTTTTCGTGTTTTTCGTAAAAAAAAACTTAGAAACTGGTTTAAAATTTTAATTGGCTGCTACCTGGTCTGATTATGAAATCAACATTGTACCGAATGGAAATTTTAATAAAAAACCAGTAGTACAAAAGAGGTTAACATTGTAGGATGGGGGAGGGAGGGGCTTATATTACATGGGTAGATGATGCGTGGGAACATTGTCCCTCTGTCCCCACGCTTCCCCGGCCACTGCATTCCCGCACGCCTCAAAGGTCACAAAGAAGGAATACTTTTCACTAAATAAGTTCCATATATTTTACTGCCAGTCCAAGTGTCGGATTTTTATACTGCTGGGCTTATAGTGCACTCCTGTGTCCTCTCCTTGTTCTTGTCTGGTGGACAAAAAAACGAAAATAAGTAAGAACAGAACGTGAAGCTGTTCTCTTTTGTCTTGTCGCCATTTATTTTTGTGGAGACCGGATGAGGAAATGGTGTCTTTTGTCACTGCATGCATCCACTCTGCAAGAAAAGCCTTATTTATGTAAGAAAATAGAAATCATGAAGGGTTTTGAATTACTTGACCCGTTTATTTATGGGAAGTGAATATGTAGCATCAAATTGGAAATTTAATTTGAATTTGGCAAATGAATTGCTTTGAATGACGAGAGATAAGCATCGATTATATTTCATTTGAGGTTATAAATTTTTAATACTTTTTGTATTGGTTTTAAGAACAAATGGGGAGCGTAGTTAATAAAATTCCAAATTAGTAACAAAATTTCTTGTTGTTTACAAAATTTGGAATAAGTAATAGATCTTATCCGTCCTTAAGTTAAAATGCTGAGCAAAATTTGATATTTCGATCGTGGAAAAACTATTATGGAAATTGCAATTATTTTTCAAAATTCAACAAATTGGAAAACTAGCGTCAGATATCAAGGCAGTGGCCAAATTTTAAGATTAAATAATTTTTAAATTATTTCCAGTGATATTTGACCCAAGTTGGACGGTTTTGAGACAAAAATCAAAATAACCAAAAAATTCGCACTGTGGGGGAAAAAATACCAATATTATTACGGTTCCCTCATGTACACATAGTTACGCAAATTTTAATCCATCATGTATGAAAATCGTTCAAGCGCGAAAATACACTATCTCATTGTATATATCTATTTTAATGAAATTTTTTCTCTATATTTTGGAAAATGCTGAAATATCCACGCGTGACTAAATAGTTCAAGTAAGATTTATCTCATTGTTTTTTTGGAAAGAAACAAAAGAATCTGATATTTTTATCTTTCATGACCTGTTAAACGGAGCGTGGAACGTGGACATTTATTTTTGGCGTTATGTATGAATGCTGAAAGAATGTAAAGTTTACAAAGTCAATGGAACTCATGTCATGAAACTTAAAGTCTGCCTTTAATTACTTCCCGATTTTAAAAATTTCTGCACTTTATAAGAAGGGTGAAATACATTGAAATAAAATTTTAAACCTCGAGACAATTCCCTTAGTCTTTGGGAACTTTATCAAATGCGTAAATTTTGAAAAACAATTGTGCAAACTTCTACAAAATAAAAGTACGCGTTTGATGCTGAGTAAAATTACAAAAATTTGCAAGCTGTAGAAGTGTTTGTAAAATTTTGTACGTAAGTTTACAGATTTTACAAGATTACTAAGAACTGTGTGAATTGCCTCATTGTTTATGTTTGTAAAACCACCATATAGATTACGAAATCTGGTTGTTATGGCCAAGTTTGCAAAAAAATCTAACGACTTCTCAGTTCGAAATTTTTGAATAGGTAAATCGAATCATTTTTATAAACATTTATTGGATTGAAAAATCAGTCTATGTGAGAAATGAAACTCTACAACGTATTTACATAAATTACAAGAATACACAAGTAGCAAGTATACATGAATATGTATGTGTTGCTTAACAAGACTTTCCTAATAGTAATACATGCATTAATATATGTACATAAGCACCATAAAAGAAAAAAAGAGTTACAAGTAAAATAACATTTTCATGGGCAAGAAGGACTTCCCACGTACCCAATCAGCCAGTTGCCGCGGAAGCCGTGGGGACATTTGGGGATGCTAACATTGTTGGATAGGGGAGGGAGGGGTTTACATAAGGTCGGGAGATGATGGGGACATCGAATAACCGATTGCCCCTCTGTCCACACCCATCCGCGGCCACTTGTGGTCGGTCACAACAAGTAAGTGACACGCATTGTGTTCGGATTTGAGGAAACAGGTATTTACCACGCAATTTACATAATACGACAAGACAATAGACTACAATGTACATACATAAGTTGGGTAATACTTTTGTGCCTGACGTTGACACCCAGCCACCCACGCTACATAGTTACCTCTACATAAAATATCACACTCTGGTTTCACAGATTTACTTTGGAGGGTATTATACAAATACGACAATTTAATTACTTACCCACCATTCTAAATACAATTTTACCGGTTACACATACTAATTTTCTAATAGAAGCTACATACATTTTGTGGGATTGATTATGTTTCAACCTTGTTTTTTTGTGATTTGAAAGGGTTGAAATTTAGGTAGGAAGGTAGAGGTACATACCAGTTTATGATGCAACATCGCAGTCAAGCTCAAGTAAACATTGATACAATTTTGGTATAATATGACTAATTTACATATCATCCTACAGATATTTTGGTGTATTTTAATTCAATACTACGAGATTCAAAAAAGACGCTGGAAATGTCACAACCCGCATGTATACGATATATATGTACGAGAATAATTTCAAAACTTGTAATTTATACAAAATCATAATAAAAACTTGGCTTAATAACATAAGTATTTCGGTTTTGTTACAATAAACAACTTGTTAACTTATTACGCGATGACTCATAATCAAAATCAACACATTTTAAATAATTTCTCCGCCCTGGGAATTTATTTTAAAATTCTGAACGACAAATTTTGTAGAGCAGGTCCTTGCCAAATAAAAAAATATGTACAATCCTAATTTTGATACTTTTTGAAAGAGGAGATCCCAAATTTGGAACTCGTCGAAACTGGCCTAAAAAACTCATCGCAATCCAATTAATCAATTTACTGTCTACAAATTTGTCGTCTACAAAATTTTAAAATAAATTCCCAGAGCGGAGAAATTATTAAAAATGTGGTGATTTCGACAATTTGGTAATTAGCCATCGAGTCGAACATACATATGTATCTACATATCTACGCTAAATTTTTCGTTTGAGAAAATGGACATGTTATTTGATCAGATAAACAAATTGGATAAGATCGATTAGAGTATTTAACAAAGTGTTAAAACAATAGAAAATGCAATCAATCTCGCCCAACTATTCAATTGCATTCCGCCACCCCCAAATTTTCCACGTAATACGGAATCTCTTCCATTACCATGTTTTCCTTCTTAAGCAAGTCAAGCTTGTTCGTCCTGCCCTTTTTATTGTTGGGACAAGTCTTCCAATTAGTCAAACTGTCATCATCAGCCTTTTCATAATCATTGTCATCACTCTTCTCTTGGCTAAATCCTTCAACTTTCTCCACCTTCTGCGGATCCTCTTTCACTTTTTTCCCAGCGAGAAGTGGCTGCCTTTCTTCCCAATCGGGACAATCTTTCGTGTTCAAATTTGTCTGTGTTATGGTGAAAGTCGGTGTGGTGAAAGTGATGTTGCATGCCGGACTTTTCTGCGAATTAGCTTGTCCTGTTGCACATCTTGCCTTCCGGGCGGCCGGGATGGGTCCGAAACTAAACGATTTTTGATTCTGGTGTCGATATTCATCCGAATTGTCAAAGATCAGCTTCGACTTTGGCCTGGATTTAGCATTAATCGGAATTAATCTGCATTTATGAGTGGAGAGAAAGTCGGTATTATCTTCCCAGTCGTCTTGGTGGTGAAAGTCATTGCCATCCGGTGACTTGCTGTTACAGCAACAATTAATCGTTTCAGGAGGACCTGCTGGTGGGGTTGATGACGACAATGAAGGAGTAATTGAATGCTCGGCAGAAGCAGAAGATTTGGATTTGCTAATTCCTCTGGGAGCTCCGCAACATGAGCAGGCGGACGCGACTTGTGTGGGCGTGCTGTTCCTGCGATGGTGTGGGCTCACTGAAATGAAATGTTACAAGAGTAATAAAACGCATAATCAGAATGGAGAAAGTGAGTCGGGCTGGCAAAGACAAGGGCGAAGAGAAAGTTATTAAGAAGTATTGACATGTATGACAATGCATAATACGCCGTCATACATACATAATAAAGAGGAGGAGGGAAGGAAAAGGGCAGTGTTTCGGGTGAAAGTAACGACTTGCAAGAAATAATGGGGGGAGAAAGTGGTGCCTTGTAGGGGAATATTTTGACCTGGGAGAAATGTAAGGTGCAAGAAATTACGTCCCGCAACTTTACTTTGTAGGGCGCGTGGCTAAATGGCGCGTATTTCTTGTACTTTCTCCCAGTGTCTTGCACCTTGAATTTATTGCGTGGCTTGCTTTGCAGTGCAAGAAATGTTGCAAGCTCGCAAGAAGTGGTGCCTTGCAGGGGAATATTTTGATCTGGGAGAAATGCAAGGCTCGAGAAACTACGCCACGCCGCACATACTTCATACGGCGCGTGGCCAGATGGCGCATATTTCGTGCACTTTCTCCCAGTTTCTTGCACCTCGCATTTCTTTCTTTGCACTGCAAGAAATGTTGCAAACCCGCAAGAAACTAAACCCTGGTTCAAATATAAATCCTTGACATTTTGCAAGAAACGAAACACTGGAAACTTGTTTTGTATTTTACTCAGAATGGCTCAACATACTTTTTGAGTGGGTGGCTTATTATTGCCGAAGGAAATAAATAAGGGGGCGAATTTCTCTCTGACCACGATTAATAAATACTAACGAGACGACATTTTAATTAAATTGTGAATAAATAGTTACAAAGAACAATTTATTACAACATGGAACAAGTAATTTTTATTAATGCGCATCTGAGCCGAGTAGAAAAAACTGTGTCGAATTCTGCAGGAATCGACAAACTCGATGCATATTGTATTTATTCTGCATATTTTTTATATAATCGTGCCGAAAATTTTTATGGTTTGATCTATTTTGCAGAAATTTATTTGTATAATTATGCAAATTTACACTTTTTCTGCACAAAATTCTGCAAGAACTCGGTGGTTCAAATTTTTATTCGGGATGTTTAACAACGATCAAACCTTGCAACCGAAAAAAAATCTCGCCCAAAGAGAAAGCTAGCTTGCCGAAAACTCATTACTTTCTCCATTTCTCATCATGTCTATTTGCATGCATAAGTCTTCTTACGTACGGTAATGTGTGGGGCTGTAGGTGGCAGATGTGGATCGCAAGTGTCGTGTGGGTACTTTGTACGGTGACGCATTATAGTTGGGATTTACCACCGAATCGCTGAACGGAGGACCTGAAAGGACACGTGTAAGAATAAATTATTGCAAAGATCAACTCGTTAATGAGATATCGCGCTGATATATTTTAGACACGTAGGAACATAAATAATGAAAGTGGTGGAAATTAGATTACAGGCAGTGGCCGCGGAAACCAGGTGTGGGGACATTGACATTGTAGGATAGGGGAGGGACGGGTTTATATAAGATGGGGAGATGATGCGGACATCGAATAACCGTGGGGACATTGTCCCTCTCTTCCGGGGCCACTGATTAGATACACAAAGTCCCACCGGAAGTGGTATTAATTACTAAACACGGTTAGACATGAAAGAGAAAGTAGTTGGGTAATCGCACGTGGACCAGCGTGGGTTCCCAGTGGCGTGACATAATTAATTTTTAATTTGGAAAACAGGTGGCTAACTTTCACTCTGTTGATCATAAGAGCAATGAATTAACAATGATCACAATGACATGTGAATTGTGATGCTCTAATGACACGACATTGGAGCATACATCATTTTTTATGTAAGTGGGACAATGTCCTTTTTCCGGCGTATCGGCAAAAAATTGGCAAAAAATTGGCAAAAAATCTTACTCGTTAACGAAGTGGATTTCCGCCTCGGTAAGATTTTGTTTCGCAAAAGCTCATCGCGAAGTCGTTCAGTTTCTTCGGAGCTGGTGGACTTCCTTCGAGATTTGTAGCAGTGGATCTGAGAAATGATAAAATAAAATTTTTGTAGTTCATGCATAAAATTTCATAAAATTTCATATTTTTATTTTTTGTCTACTTATTTTCATATTAAAATTTCTGTAATTCATAAAATTTCATAAATCTATTTTTAGTCTAATTATTTTCCTGTAAACAATGGGTCCGTAAACATAGGAGTGCATACATACGTAATGCATGTAATTAGTCGCTCCCATCACCACACATTAATCTTCCGGTCGATACCACCAAAAGTAGGATTGATTTATAAATGATTGAGAAATCTCGTGCCAGACTTCAATAAAATTTGTGTGTGTGTGTGTAGCCTTTAAGGAAATAGTTGGTGTTGTATCAACGGTTATGTTTTCTGTTTGGCCAGGCCAGGACAGTAGTAGTTCCATAAAACTAATCACTTTTCCCAGCCAGCAAGAGACGCAGTCGGGATGTATGTATTTATAAGTGTAGTAAAATACTTAGGAGAAACTATGTATCTAACAAAGGAGGTCTCCCAGCAGATGCTCTCCGATTTTGAAAAATCGGTATTACAAATTTGATCATTATGAAATTTACATAAAACACGATCTCCTAATTGGCACGTTGTACAGAGATATTTGCATCCAAAGAGGAGAAAACTTAAATTTATCAAGTTTAGGTCGCGTTCTCTCCTCTTCGGATGCAAATATCTGTGTTAATCGATCATAATTTTAATTAATATGAAATTGGTGAAAGGGACGATCTCGCAATGGTCAAGTTTGACGGAAATATTTGCATCCGAAGAGGAAAAATGCTCAATAAATTTGAAAAGTTGAAAATTGTAGGGCGTGTTTTCTTCTCTTCGGATGCAATTTTCTCCGCCAATTCGTATACTTGTCGTGTATTGAGACTGATTTGGTCAAAATCGGAGTGCATACCCTTGAAAACCTCCCTTGTATGTACGTAAGTAAGTAGGAAACCAAAGCTATACTTACTTCACTTCACACACACACACAGACTTTCACCACATGTCAACAGGACTACGTCTATAATTACGTTAGAGAATAGAATGAAACCCTTCCGGATTTTATTAAGGTCAGTACATGTAGTCGAACCGAATGAAAATTAATTGCGGCGGAATTCGGGTGGATGGATGGTTGTAGTGTATTTGATACTGCTGCGTATATAACTTTTACGAAATAGACGTCGGCAAAATTAATGCTTTCATTAAGCTCGCAAAGGAGAAATGGAGGAATTTTCAGGCAATTTATATTGATTAAGTAATGACTTTCTTTAGTGGGGAAGGGAGACAAGGCCCAAAAATTAAGGGGGTTATTACATACGTATTTACGACGTAGAGCTTAATATGGACTTTGTTCTCGTTTAGGGTATTCATTCGTATTTCAACATAATTTTGAAAAAATTGCAAACTAAATACTGAGGGTATTCATTACGAGTTCGCATCGTTAGCAAAAAAGGTACCGTCATTAACAATAAAATATAGCTTGAAAAAGTAAAAAGTTCTAAGGTGAGGAAGTACACTTAAAAGTACTAAACAAGCTCCCTCCGCTACCCAGATAATTTTACTTCGCCTGGGCTGTCCACTGCATGCAAAATATCTGTTGTAAATAAAAATATGTAGGTTGCAAAAGTCGCCCAACAGATCTAAAAACAATGGTTGTCTTGTTATTGTATACTATAAGTTTAAAATATATATCAGTTCATCAGTACATATATTCTGACTTGAATGTACAACGAGCACGATGTCGAACTACAAGGTATTTATTTACTAGGTATACAAAGAATTAATAAATATTTTGGGGACGAATGAACCATATGTAATAATTACCACCAAATGATCATAATTGTTAATACCCTTACCACCCAGCAATGTTGATCTGAATATTAACCAATTCAAAAGTTAACTTTAGACCAAGATATTAAATCTTATCTTTATTTTCTTACGTGACGCCGAAATATTATTGTCGATTTTGCATGCAGTGGACAGCCCAGGCGAAGTAAAATTATCTGGGTAGCGGAGGGAGCTTGTTTAGTACTTTTAAGTGTACTTCCTCACCTTAGAACTTTTTACTTTTTCAAGCTATATTTTATTTAATTATTTTTTAGGTTTGAATTTTAAAAGCTAATATAGAACATAACCACTGTTGTACGGTATAAAGCAACATGTATGTACACCGTTACTCTTGCGGATATCGTAGCCAATTTAATTCGTTCAAATTTACAGCATACGTTTTAAAAGTGTCAGTTGAAAGATATCAAGTTTTGATATTCCTAACCACTCTCAAATTTGTGCTTCGACTTATGTGTAAAGCTATACATAAGACCATTGGTAACAATTTCTACAAGGTGTGGGTGACTTCAAAGGACAAAACTCCACAAAAATATTTTCCCAATTCCAGTTCATATTCTTCCATTAGGTAGGACTGCGCTGTACCAAATTACAACTCGATTGATGATTTTGAGAAATCAAGTATGGGTTACCCCGTAGGGTCCCTCTAGATGAAAATTTTTCCAATCTGATTTCATATTCTTCCATTAGGAGCCACTAACAATCTGCATGCCAAATTTCAGCTTTCTAAGACAATTTTGAAATCTGGTGCATAGCAGATTGCCCCCACGGGTCAACCATTCATTTGACCCATTTCGTCCACCTTCGAACTTGTTTCCTAACTTTGTCCAATATGCATATGGCAAAATTGTAAGTCAGTCGTGTTCACGGACGGACATGACGGTCCCATAAGCCTGGACACGGGCTAAGGCTATAAATACTCCATAGCAAGGGTGTAACTATATAGTTACTATATAGCAACCACTCGGAAATTTTCGTTATAAGGAAAAGTCACTGGTTTCTCAACCAATCGACCTAATTCTTGTTTCCCCTTATAGTAAAGTGGGGGCGATCTTTCATAAATTTGGATACCCAGCTATGTAGGTAGTCTCCTTCATACTTAAATTGCGAAACGCAACCATTCACCACCATCAAAACTTTTTTTTGGGAAGTCGTATCGAAAAATCCCTTAGGAAAGCACTAGATTAGGTCCGTAATTGATTTTTCGGTCTCTTTATATTTTTCTCTAAAACGCACCCCCTTGGCTGTAGGGCGCGGTCAAGGTTTTCGAAGGGGGGGGGGGTGAATGCATACTAAGGTGTAAATGTGACCATAGTTTTTTACCTCACCTTAGAAAAAAAAACAAGTTCGCTAGTATTTAGTTCGCAATTTTTTTCAAAATCATGCTGAGATTGCGACTTAGCTGTTTGCATAGTTTTTTTTAATAAATTGCAAACTAAGTATTAAGGATATTCGTTACGAGCTCGCATTGTTAGCCAAAAAAAAATTGGCTTGCAAATTCCTGAATCTCCAATTTATTTTTTTTTTGCGATTTTGCGAACCTTGTTTTTGTTTCTAATCTAATAATAATACGTAATCTAATACCTCGCAAATTTATTATTGCATATTGTACCAAATGAATTTTCAAGCCTAAATTTTTTGCAAACTTGCGAACCTTGTTTTTGCGAATTTTGCTACAATTCGAACTCATTATGAATACCCCCAATATTATTATTACATATTTTACTACAATACTTCCACATTTCATAAATTGAAACTTTCATTACACTATTCCAGCCTTGACTAACGAGGGAACCTTTTATAGTGCCCGGAGCTCCCAACATATCCACTATGTACATTAGACGCAGTTTTTAATACTAGTCCTATGATGTGACAAAATCTCCGTGTCAAAATGACATTTGGTCAAGCGGTGACGATTTTAGTGACGCGCCGAACGGTCATTTTCGCCATGCTTTTAGTAGCGGAGGTACCCGTTCACCTCTTCACTACACGTCCCCGTTTATCTCACTGAAATCTCAACTCATTTATTCACCGATGAGACTGGCATCTAATTTAGCTATGTATGATTATAATTTATTTACTATTTACAAGTTTTCAGTATTGTTTTTTCCTTTCAAATATCTGTGTTGGAATTTAAAAACTATGCGGAAAAATACAGCAACTTCTTATGAATTCAAACAAGTAGAGGGATTTGTTTTTCAAAAAATACGCGTGAATATTTTGCAACTTTCAAATTCGAACGGAAAAAAATATTGATGAGTGGTAAATTGTAATTATATTTTAAATATAGCTAAATTAAGTACCAGTGCGCTCAGTGAGTAAATGAGTTAAGAATTCAGTAGCAAAATGAGGAGCGTGTGGCGAAAAGTAGCTGCGCTATTGAAATCATGGGAGAAAGTGACCGTTCGGCGCGTCACTAAAATCGTCACCGCTTGACCAAATGTCATTTTGACACGGAGATTTTGTCACATCATAGGACTAGTATTAAAAACTGCGTCTAATGTACATAGTGGATATGTTGGGAGCTCCGGGCACTATAAGAGGTTCCCTCGTAAGATAATAATTCTCCCCATGTCGGGCAGGCACGTACGATCGGAATGTTACATAAATCGAGGTACTAAACCCACTTTAAGCCTTGGCACCAGGTGAGCAGGATTACAATCTTCGTATGGTAATCATTGGGGAGCCAAGCATTTTGCGAATCCTCACTTCACATAAGTTCCCAAAAAAATAAATGAGATTATTTCCTGCCGGAAGTTAAGTAATCCTTTTTCCCATCTTTTTCCTCCTCCACGTTCTACGCCGTAATATGATCAGTGGCCGCGGAAGCTTGGGGACAGTGGTCTCGTTGAACTGAAGTACAAAAACTTCGACCTCATTCAAACCATAATTAAAAAATTATAGAGCAATTCGGCAATAGTATTACCTTTCCAAGTTCAAATTATAAAATAATTTGCCAGGAAACCTTTCAGATTTTTTTTCAGACTATTAATTTTGGCTGAACAGTTTAACTATGCAATTCATTTTGTAACAATGAACTAGATTTTGATTTTCCTAAATTTTCATCAAAATTTTGTATCTGTCAACTTTCCTTAAATGTCCAGTATTAATTTGTTCATATACTGAATTTTTTTCGACTAAATTTCTTAGATCGAAAAATTTTGTGTCCCACGACCCAAATTATCTTCCGCGGCGACTGCCACGTATTATACACATCTCGCCGTAAATGGTCCTTGAGAGTTAATCAATCTTTAAAAAATGAGCACCTGCCAGGACTCCATTAAATCTCGATCCATCAATTAAACTTGCTCTGCCCTGAAAAATTGCCCGATCAGAAAAAAGATCTTATTTTCCATCCATATTGTGCTTGCTTTCTCCGTTGTAAAACAAACTCTCGACCCAAACAAACTACGTCATCAGTCAAGTCAGCTAAACCTCAAACCCACATTTATTATTGACTCTCGAACGGAGCAGGGCCTAACCCAAGTGGAGGGAATAAACCAATATTATTAATTCCGATCTTGATCCAGTATCCAACGTTATCTGAAATCCTATCTTATTTATTACGAAGTAACCCCGCAACTTTCGCCACATTGAGCTTTCTCCGTCTTTCATTGGTTTCGTTTTTAGGGGGAAGATACACTGTTAAAAATGTGGTAGAGTGACATGCTGGTATTGTTTTGGTAATAAATTCCTACATGATTGGTAGTAGTTTGTTTCTGGGTGGTAAATTTTTTTACGGTACTACAACATTACTAAACGGCACTGATAGTATTAATTCATATTTATATATTATATTATTATATATATTATTTAATTGTTCTCTATGGGCTGTAAGGCTCGAAAGAGTTATTAATAAATCATTACAATACAATACAATACAAATACATTACTAAACGGTAGTGTATGTTATTACCAGTGCTGGTCATATGTGCACTTTGGTCAGGTCAGTAATAATTTAATACTACATACTGGGCCCACTGTAACTGTAAGTGGCTGTTTTCTTCGAAACCGACAGAGATAATGAAAATCTGATGATTGCATTGGATTCCCCGTGCGATTTTGCATAAGTACCATAAATCAGATTTTTACTATTTGCAATGCAAATTCGCATGGAAAATGTTGAATGGAAGCGGGCGGCGAAAATTTTTCATTACAAAAATGGGGAGAGAAATGGCGAATTTTAAAAGTGTGGCAGGAATCGAACGAGCCGTATAATTTAGCCAAACAGACTATAAAGACGTTCATGGGGACGGGGTGGACTAACAACAGTCGAAGAAAAAAATTTTGAAATCCTACAAGGACCACACCCATCATGAAGGCGCTGAAGGATGGAATCCGAAGAAATTCACGAAATTCCAACGGAAACCAACCTCACAGCTGACAGTGTAGAAGCAGATTATTCAATGAGTGCTTAAATTGAACCTTAGACTTAGGACTTTGAAATGTGGTACTTGCCACATGCCGACCATCCCCCAAAGGGAAACCAGATTAAAGAAACCCAGGAGTGACTTCAAGCGGTACGCTCAGAAAAAGTGACGAGGATTCTATTTACAGATGAGGAGATTTTCACATAGGAAAAATATTTTAACAAGCAAGTTGGCCTTATCTACGCCAAATCTGTCAGAGACATCCCCCAATATAGACAAAAGGTCAGAAAGCCACATTATCCAAGCTTTGTGATGATTTTGGCAGGTGGGAGCTAATTGGGGCAATTTCTCTACATTTTGTTGAAAATGGGGGGAAGGTGGGGGGATCAAATTTCTTAAAATACGTTTTCGAGTCCGCGGTACATCCCCTAAGTGAGATCCAATTCATTGAAGTCGACTGGACCTTGCAGTAGGACTAGGAATCAGCTTATAGTGCAAAAAATGACCCAAGCGTGGGTAAAAAACAAAATTCCGAACTTTTCCTCCTCTCGGAAATGGTAATTCTACTTTCTGGATTTGAATCTCCGGATTATGAAAAATGGTCAAAGTTAGGGGCAAATGTGTGTTCTAAGCCTCGTAGAAGTGTAGAGATCGGAAAAAAATTTTTGACCACGGAATGGAACACTTTGCCCAGGAATTAGTGCGTGCTTCAGCGGAGAACTGCAGGCGGTTTCCTCAGCGCTGCATTAATGGCAGGGGAGGAAATTTCGAAAACTAAAAATTGTTTTCTACTCAGAAATTAACTGGCTTTCGGTTAAAATTAACTCGAAATTCGTAACATAAAAACTGTTGAAGCCACAGGGTTTCATTTCACTTACAGTTTCAGTGGGCCACCTAGTATGCTAAAAGTCTGGTAGAGCCACATACATACTTCGAACTGGTATTGAGTTGGTATTAAATTTTTACCGGATTGGTAGTAGTTTGTTTCTCAGTTGTGAATATGTCAGTATGACACAACATTACTTAAAATTAACGCCAGTAGAGTCATATATGTACTCGGGTAAGTGATGATGTACCATTTTTCTGGTATTGATTTGGTAATAACTTTCTACTGGATTGGTAGTACAGAATTTTTTTCTGAGTGGTAAATTTTCCAGCACCAAATTCTACTAAACGGTAATTCCCGTTATTACCAGTGCCCCTAGAATCATAAATATACCTCCCCCAGTCAGTAATGATTTAATACCAGTTTTCTAAGAGTGTAGAAAGTGACGTTAGTAAATTTCATCCTTAGCAAATAGAACCCCAGTCTGAATCAGGATCTCAACTTTTTCTCCTTATTGGAGAGAAAGCCGTCTTCAGAGAAAGTCTTCTTCCTCTTCTCGTTCGCGATTAGATGAATAAGCGACGCCAAGAAAGAGAGAACTCTCCAAGGTGTCCATTAAGGAAGAAAAAGAGGGATTATATTCCATCATAAGGGATGAGATGATGATAGATACGCAGTGACCGCGGAAGACGTGCGGACATGAGGGGACATTAATATTTTAACATAGGGGAGGAAGGGGTTTATATAAAATGATGCGGACTTCGAATAACCGTGGGGACATTACCCCTCTGCGCCCACACCCTTCCGCGGCCACTGTAGCTGCATACATCTCATATCACGCGCACATCTTCTTACATCCAACGAGGCCACAAACCTCTTTCGTTACACAATTTATTTTCCTACCTCGATTCGATTTACTATCCTTCCCCGCTATGCATACATTTCTACCTAAGCCTGCTTTTGCTAGCGATGACTATGCAATAAAAATAAAGGGTGGAACGCTACAATATCCTTTTTTGGATGGAGAAGAATATAAAACGAAACTGGGCCGAAAGTAAACAGCGTCGACTGTCAACAACTTGACATTGCGAGGTGAAGGGAAGGATGAAATAGTGGATTTTCGCAAATTCCCAACGAGGGAATGAGGTGGATCATTTCGTCTGATGGAATTTGAGTCTGCTCAAAATGGCTGTTTGTATTAAGTGGACGTCAGCAAGGAACATTAGTGGAAGCAAATCGTTAAAACTTAGGGTGAATCAGCATGAATTCGACAGCTTGGGTGCAGACGTGCACGTATGTATGCACAGTTAATGCAGTGTTTTGGGTAAAAGTAACGACTTGCAAGAAATAAGGGGGAGAAAGTGGTTTCTTGCAGGTAAATATTTTGACGTGCAAGAAATGCACGGAGCGAGCAACGATGTCCCTTTGCTATTCTTCATACGGCGCGTGGCTAGATGGCGCATATTTCTCGCACTTTCTCCCAGTTTCTTGCACCTTGCATTTCTTGCGCTTCTTATCTTGCCATGCAAGATATACAACAAGCCAGAAAAGAACCACTTGCAAGAAATAACTGGGAGAAAGTGGTTTCTTGCGGGTACATATTTTGACCTGCAAGAAATTCAAGGCGGGAGAAACTACGTCGCGCCGCTATAATACTCATACGACGCGTGGCTAGATGGCACATATTTCTCACACTTTCTCCCAGTTTCTTGCACCTCTTATTTCTTGCTTTGCAGTGCACGAAATGCAACAAACCCGCAAGAAACGAAACACTGACAACCATCAACGTCATATGCTAACATAAATACGAGTATTTCTAGTCTGTGGACAAGCACTTATTTGTTGTGTGTGTATTTATAATGCCGAATTTTCGCCGCATATAAATAAGCATGATTATATTAGCACTATCACAAACTTTGTTTCATATATTCTTATTGAGATTGGACAATATGATACAAGAATAACAAACTTTCTACTTCCAGCAACTTTCTCTTTTTGCATTATATTCCCCATCCAATCTCTCTCCGCCCTTACTTACGTCGTCGTCCTTCTTGGCGTCGTCTTTATTCCGTGACATAGTTGCGAAGTATATTTCGCAAGCAGAGTACACCGTTAGAAATATGGTATAGTGATTTCTCGGTATTAAAGTTACTACCCTCCTGCGGTATTAAAATTTTGCACCGGTCCGTAAAAATTTCCTAGCGACATGTCAAAACTTTAATACCGAGCTACTCCTAAACCGTATTATCACTTTGGTAGAGTAATATATGAATACCGCTTGGTATTATTTTACTACCGGATTTCTACATTGTTAGAAATCTGGTATAGTCAGGCAGGTATTGATTTCTCGGTATTAAGGTTGTTACCTCTTGGTATTAAAATTATGCTAGTCCATAAACATTCGCCCCCGATATGGCAAAACTTTAATACCGAGCTGCTACTACACAGCATTACTTATCAATACCGCTTTGGTAGAGTAATACTTATACGATTACCGTTTGGTATTATTTTACTACCGGATTTCTAAGAGTGTGCGTATTTCGCCAGCAAAGTGTAAGGTTCAACCATAATAATGCAAAAGTAAACTTACGACAGAGTAAATAACTCCGAAGGAAATGCAAAAGGCGGCCATGCCAATGAGGATGAACTGCGCTGAAGTTGTGCTCCAAATCATATCACGACCATCAATTTGCCTTTGTCCTCCTCCTCCACTGCTTCAGACATCAATCCAACTGCGGATGCAACACGGTGTCCACTTCTTTAGGATTTATTTCCTGAAAATAAGTTCTTTTATGAGGAAAATAAGTAAGTGAAAGTGATGCCGTGTCAGTAAAAGTATTGTGAGATAAATCCTAATCCCGAATAAAAAAGAAAATAATTTATTTTCATGAAACTTTCTCCGTCTCAACTATAACCTTTCTAACTTTCTCTTTGTTACATAAGCAATTCACCGAAATATTTATGATGGATATGTTGTTTTCCACTGCCGATTCCTCTTTTGCAATGGAGGTTTCCCAGCGTATGCTCTCAGAAAATTAGTGTCAATCCATCAGAAATTTAATTAGTATGCCGTTTGCGAAAGACACGATCTTCCAATGGGCACGTTTGGCAGAGATATTTGCATCCGAAGAGGAGAAAGCGCACAGAAAAAATTGGAAAGTGCAAAATTTGTCGACTTTAAGGCGCACTTTCTCCTCTTCGGATGCAAATATCTCTGCCAAACGTGCCCATTGGGAGATCGTGTCTTTCGAAAATTTCATACCAATTAAATTTGTGATCGAGTGACGCTAATTTGCTCAAAATCAGACAACATTTGCTAAGAAATCTCCATTCTAAGTGCGATTTGAGTAGGAATTTTCAAAGAAAAATGGCACTTGAAAGATAGCTAAAATGCTTATTCTTGGTCATAATTGACCAATTCTGTCCGTAGTTTCGAACCAAGATATCAAACTTGGCGGTCGGTCGCTTTCACCGTTCGACAAAAGTGATGGGATGAGAATCCAATTATTTTTATTGCACCGATGAAATCTGATTGTCGATAATTCTTTCACGCTTGTGCTCCGAAATATTTGTAGGCGTTGGGGCCGAACGTTGGAAAGCTACGTGTAGCGGGTGGAGTAAGCATGAGATGACGAAGAGAAAGCTATGGATTGTCAGGTGGCTTCCAGTATCGAACAGACAATTATATTCTTTCACTTCGTTGGAGAAAGGTACGTCATAAATGTTGGCACAGAATGCCATGCCCGGCTGACTTTATTCTGAGAATGACTAATTTTATGATCATTTAGTCATTCTCACGTAAAATTATGGGGAAGATGATGTCCTCATTTTGTCGTCTGTTCTACAAACTTGTCCAATTAGGGTCTAACAACCCTTTGAAAAAAACGAGTCGTGCTACTAACGGAAACAAGTTCTAAATTTAGACCGATTTTCAAAGAGTTTTTCTTTTTGTTTTGTTTTTCAAATTGCTTCCTGAATTGTCCAAATTTCCAAAAAAAACATGGCAAGAATTTACCCAGCTTTTAAATTTAGAACCAGTTTCCTACAAGCTTCGGAAATATTTGATGTTTTTTTTTCTCTTTCTCAAATTGCTTCCTGATTTGCTTCCAAGTTTCCCAAAAAACAAGACAACCATTTACCCAGACAGACACACACTGCAGATAGACGTCCACTTACTTGCTTCAAAACGGTCCGTAATCAAGAGGTTTTTCTGCCACCCGGGATTTGTCACCTAGTCCAGTCCACTCGTTTCTGCTGCTGCACAATATAAATAGTTGTGTATGTCGTTATTTGCAAAGCCACTTTCCACTCGAGACAACCCAACCCGTTGGAAGTTGAGAACAAAATGAAGCAATCCTCGTCTCGGAGAGCAGGAATGAAACAGAGGGAAAGGAAGTGAAAGCAGGAGAGAAAGAGTAAAGGAGTCAGCGTTACGTGGTTGCTGGCAGAAGTGGTGGTGGTTGGTTGGTTTACAGCAGGGCCACCAACTCTCTCATCCTCCAACACAGTACAGTGTCGCATAATGCAAGTGGAGTGAACTGGGCTGAACTAGCAAGCAAGTATGTGCGAGAAAGAAGAATAAAGAAAGTCTGCTTGCTTGCTTTACTCACTTTGCACGGCTTTCTCTCCATACGAAGAGAAAGTAGGAAAGGGGAAAAATTTGGAAAGTACGGCCAGAAATGTGATGTGAATCCTACGCTTGTGGGGAAGACATCAGAGCGAATAATACGGTCGAGAATAACACCACCGGCATGGCAGTATCTACCACCACGACAATGAACCTTGGTACTTTACTCTTTCGTCATACTTTTTTGTCCAACATCTGATTCAACAGACCGCTTTCACCAGCTGTCGGGGCAGCGAATGTAATGTAGTTTGTACTTTCTCCTCATTATGGATTCTATAATGTTATGATTCTTTCCCTCCGCAATCTGCTGACAGATGTGGGGCAGCAAAATTTTCTGTCCGCTTTCTCCATCTCGCTTTGCTATCTTTTAACATATTTATTCGAGTCGAGATAACTTTTAAGCATGGATTTGTGTTTGGAAGGGACTTTGGAGCAGCTAAATTTTTTATGAGGCGGGATGAGAAAATGTACCTATGAATGTCGTTTAGATTTGGAGAATAGAAAGGATGGCATTTATTTGCGATGCCATGGCCCCACTTCGCTCGTGTAGTTGGATATTATTGGGTGGAAAGTATGCACTGTTAAAAATCTGGTGTAGTCAGGCAGGTGTTGATTTCTGGGGTATTAAATTTACTACCATTTGATGTTAAAATTCGACCGGTCCGTAAAAACCTGCTACCGATATGGTACAACTTTAATAACGAGGTATTTCTACGCAGTAACTTGTCAATACAACTTTGGTATAGAGCATATATGAATACCGCTTGGTATTATTTTAGTACTGAATTTTTACACTATTCGAAATCTGGTATAGTCAGGCAGGTATTGATTTCTCGATATTAAAGTTGCTACCGCTTGATATTAAAATTATTTTACCGTTCCGGAAAAATTTCATACCGATATGATAAAACTTTAATACCAAGCTATTTATTACGATGCGGTATTACTGATCAATATGTATGTATTACTTTAGAAGAGTCATACAAGAATACTGCCTGGTATTATTTTAATACCGGATTTCTAAGAGTATATGCCAGAGTCAGGAAAGAATTCTAGAGATTTTTTGTCTCCCCATCTGCCTACCCATCGACCTTGGTAAACGAATCCAAAATAAACTCGGCAATCTTTGATCTCCCATGAAGCCGAAATTTCTCCGCGTAGAATGCATTTCAAACTAAAGTAATGTAGGTATGTAATCAGGCGAAAGAATAAAGAGACCAATGTACAAGTCCCTGAATGTCGTATGTATGAGAAGCACTAATAAAATGGACTGCTCCACTTTCTCCCAAAAGATGTGTACTCGAGACAAGACAATAATAGGGCTCGAAGCTTAATTTGAAATTCAAGATTCCACCAGAACACTCGAGTGCAGTTCTTGACTTTCATTAGTTTAATGCGAAGAAAATTAAACCACTTGATGCCAACTTGCTTAGTCGAGATGCGAAACTTGAGACCCACTTGTGTTTCGGGTGACAAGAGTCTTTTTTAAGACGTGGTATTTATTATCTTGTATTTTACTATTGTTAGTGAAAGTTGAATTGTTTATGATAGATTTAGTTGGATTAATTTTATGTCGATACAAATACCAACAAGGGAGGTCTCCCAGCGTATGCTCTCCGATTTTGGGCAAATTAGTGTGAATCGATCACAAATTTAATTAGTATGAAATTTGCGAAAGACACGATCTCCCAATGGGCACGTTTGGCCGAGATATCTGCATCCGAAGAGGAGAAAGCGCAGAGTAAAATTGGAAAGTGTAAAATTTGTCGACTTTAAGGCGCGCTTTCTCCTCTTCGGATGCAAATATCTCTGCCAAACGTGCCCATTGGGAGATCGTGTCTTTTGCAAATTTCATACTAATTCAATTTGCCATCGATTGACACTAATTTGCTCAAAATCGGATCGCATACTCTGGGAGACCTCCATTCTAAGTCAAACTTAAAGCTTGTCCTTATTTCAATTCCGCACACTCATCCCTCCCTCCCACCATTTAATGGAGAATAAATAAGCATTGGGGCAACAATTTGGGTCCTTTCGAGCAAATAATTGTCGTAGCCTCTCTTCCGCCTCTTATACGTTCGTGGATCAGACATTTTATTACTTGTTGTGTGTCGTGCACACAAATTCATGGACTTGCTTAATGCCAAATTGCGAAGTGAAAGTCCATGTTCGAAGCGACTCAAGTACTGCGATGAAGTTTCGTTCGATCTGCAATGAACTGGACTGGACACGGAGGAAAGAGAGTATAATGTTCGCTTTATGGTCAGTTCACCCACCCCCGCAAAAACCTTGCCAAAACACCTTTCCTCGTGGCGTGGTATTTATGGTTGGCTGAATTCTTGTGTGTTAAGTGGATAGTTTGGAGGAAATTGAATCTTGAAGATGTCTAATTTTAGAACGATGTATTGATATCTTGGGAGGAAAGATGATCAGGAGAAAGCGGTATTATTTTTGGACATGTTTTATACGTACACGTCTTTGTTCGACCCGTGTAGAAATCGGTATGCCGAATTCTGCAGTAATCGACAAAAGTTTGAGGTGCATGCTGTATTCTTCGCAAATTTTTTTGCACAATAGTGCAGAAAATTTGGATGATTTTTATTCTGCAGAAATGCATGTGCATAATTCTGCACACATAGTTTTTTTATATAAATAGCTACGCATACAGTTTTTCTGCAAGAATTGTGCCACATTTCTGTAGAAAATAGGACAAAATTTCTAAAGGAAAGCAGTTCAAATTTTTATTCGGGATATTTTATGTGAATTGAGTAAGTATCATTTTAGGGTTCTTTTTTTCCTTAAAGAACTGGGCCAAATTTCTGCAGAAAATCAGTTTAAGTTTTCACTCGGGGAATTTTAGTCCAAACAAAAAATCGAAAATCAAGAAAAAAATCACGTGGAAAAGTTTTGCTAATGAATTTTGTTAATTACGAAGTTCTCCTTAGAGATCCGATCCTAGCGTCACATACAAGTCGACATCCTTAATTACAGAAATGTTTTTTGTTTCGAATGCCGTGAGCAAGGTTTCCTTCCGTTCTGAAGTCCTTATTTTGGTACTTTCTTACACTTAAATCGTCCTCTTAGGCCGACCGATCGTTGTCCTTGCTTTCCTTTTTCCACATTCAATCAGCATTAAAGCTTTCACTCTTCATCTTCTTGCCTCCTTCCGTTGCCCGTCCGTCACTCCGCGAGACAAAGCCAAGAACAACATGTCGACTAAATACAGACATCGCTCACTTACTTAAACAAAGTGGAGCTATCAGTGGCCGCGGAAGGGTGTGGACAGAGGGGCAATGTCCCCACGGTTATTCGATGTCCCCATCATCTCCCCATCTTATATAAACCCCTCTCTCCCTTATCCTACAATGTAAATGTCCCCACAGCTTCCGCGGCCACTGTCGGACATTGTTCTATTTTAAGGAAGCCTGCCTCAACACAAAGTTTCTGGTAAATCAAGCCTCCTCCTCCGACTGACTGACTGAATCTTCTCTGAGAAACGGAATATTCATGAGTGAGTGAAAGCAAAGTAGGAACTGACGCATTTCAGAATTTATTTATGAAACTGAAAGTGCCAGAAACACTGACATGCCGACTTGCCCGAAAAAAATGAAAGTTTATGAATAATAAATGCAAACTTTTTCATAAACACTTTCCCATGACGTAAGTAAGTAACTGTGTAATAAAAAAGTGACTCATGCATACACAGTGGCCGCGGAACGGTGGGAACACTGTCCCCACGGTTGTTCAATGTCCGCATCATCTGCCCATTTTATATAAACCCCGCCCCCTCCTATCCTACAATGTTAATGTCCCCCCATGTCCCCACACCTTCCGCGGCCACTGCTCACACATTCACCAGTTGATTGGTGCATACACAGTTATGAATATTTATGGCTGGCTGGTGGTACATGGTACGCCATCCATTTTTTTATCACCCCGTTTTATCACAACGCAGTAACCTTGTTTACTTTACATAAATAAATTCAGTTAAATTGAATTATGGAGCAATTTGGGATTCAATCTAATTTAGCGAGCGATATTTTATAGGTACATATATACCAAGCAAGAAATATAAATTGGGTATTCGACCACCTTATTTGTTACATGGTGACACTTTCTCTCCTTTCACATTTTCTCTGTCGGTGTCGGTGTCGTCGTCGCTGTCGTTTTTGGAGACAGGTTGATCGGTTTGGTCGTTTGGTATTGAGAGAAGTGGCGTCGGCGGCGGGATTGCTGGCGCTGTCAGTCCGCCTTGATTTGATTAATTATGTGTCCAACTCAAACACAAATATATACTTGTACCTCATCCAATCCACACGTCATCCACTTGGAGAAAGCAGCCTTCTTCTCAAGCTCAATGTAAATACCAAGGCCGGGTAACATTACGCGACTACTTTGTGTGTATTAGGATGGGCATAATGCATGCTGCGAAACTGACACCCACGCGATTTCGGACCGAATTTATTTCACTTGCAAGTGAATCCAGTGGCCGCGGAAGGGTGTGGACAGAGGGACGACAATGTCCCCATGGTTGTTCGATGTCCGCATCATCTCCCCATCTTATATAAACCCCTCCCTCCCTCATTCTACAATGTTAATGTCCCCAGATGTCCCCACGGCTTCCGCGGCCACTGTGCTCATTGCATCGGAGAAGGGGATTGGCTTACGTACGTTGTTTTAAGTGCATGGTAACACGGAAGCCGAGGAAATGTACTTACTTGATGATGGAGAAAGCAGTAATCAATGCCAACTAGACTACCCCCGATGTCCCCATCGCTTCCGC